TGAAATTTCTTGCAAAAATCAGTCACATGCCAACATATTAGAAACACAAAAATAAGGGATTTTGTGTAATGAGAGTGACCGTATTTTATGGTCGTAACAATTGGTCACATTATATGATACTAGTCTTTTTAGGCCATAGCATGCAACTGGAAGACTTTACTAAGACAAAGACTGGTTGTCAAGAACGTAGAGAAGATAGAGTGTGCAATTGACCATATTTAGTATGAATAGTACATGGTCATTAGTCAGAGTAGGTGGCTCTCCTAGGGTTCCATCTAGGATCCTTGGGCAAGAGGATCGGGTTGGCCCTTGGTAACAACACGATGTACTATCTCCCTTCAGACTTTTAAACAAAAGAAAGAAAAATCCTTTTGTTTTTATTTTGTGTCCATGTATAAGTTATTTCTTGAAAAATTATTTTCGAACACCTATTTTCTTATCTCATAAACACCCGTTCTTATTTATAATTTCCATGTTGGTAATAGACGGGTTAATTGTCATTTGTCAAGTAATATATTTTTTTATAAAGTAACAGAAATACGATACATGTAGCGTTACTCGCAGTTGTTTCGTGTCAAAACAATAGAAACCGAGTATATGTGTGGCCTCCACAGTCGACGCCGGCCAGCCAGTGGTGCACTCTTGGCATGCATGTATGTATAATAAGGACCAGGATCCTCTCCTGAGCTAAGGATGAGGATCCTCCTCATCAAGGGGTGTGGGCCGTTGGATGAAAATCCAACGTCTACAAACAGGGAGGTCCTTTTAAAGTTATAATAATTGTAGTCGTTGGATTTTCATCCAACGACCCACACCCCTTGATGAGAAGGATCCTCATGCTTAGCTCAGGAGAGGATTCTAGTCCGTATAATAATTCCCAAGTTAGAGGACCATGGAATTTCTAACACCGATGCAGTCAAATGACCAAAATACCCCTGAATTTTCACAAAGTTGTGTCATTTGTCCGAGGGTGTTATTGTCGTGGTACGCGGACAAGTAAAAGTGGGGAACAATCTTTTTCTTAGGGATCCTAGGGATTCCGTAATAGTATCCGATCATCATACATCGTGCAGTTAGAAATTATTTAAAATTTAAAATTCAAATATAAATAGTAACTAACGAAAACTGACCGCACGATTTTCGATAAATAGACACGATTACGAAATCCCTAGGATCATTAGGAGAGAAAACAAAACAAAAAACTATTTTAATCTCCGAAATTGATGATGTTTGACTGGCGTGAAATTACGGAAATGCCACTCGCGAGTTAATGATACGTTTGACGAAAGGAGTTGGAAAACGCGGGGTTCGGACCTAAAATTCCAAATAAGTCCAGAGAGAAGATGGGGACGAGTAAATGAAAAAGTTTGAAAAAGCCTTCCCACTCAATTAAATTCTTTAACTTTTAAATCTTCTTGTTGTTGAAGATGATCATGGAATTTAATTACGCATTTAATGATGTGTCATCTCCGAAATTTTATAAAATAAATAATGTTAAAATAAAATTGTTTTGTTGAATCTTGTGAAGGTAAGATGAGTTGATGATTTGATCAAAAGTCAATGGAGTTTGTTTATATAGGCATGCAAGAAAAGAAAAACTAGAAAATGATCATACCATGTTATAGTACTAATTGAAATAGTTTTTATTTCTAACTAATGGTTTTTGACGGTTTTATGTGCGGATTCTTTCATGTGACGAATTATAAAGTGATTAAATTTCTAATTGCGATGATTGAAGTTCTTTAGACTTTGGAATGCTGGTTGTATTCCTTTGCTACTTCTCATGCCCATATATCAACCAATGTTGCGGCATTAGATTGAACAAGCTGACCTTATTTTTTGCTTTTGTCTTTATTTTAGGACCCTCAAATTTAATCCAAGTTGTTTTCTTGAAGTTTATATCTTTTCTTAATACTGGAATAATGCCATTATGAATCATCAATCTTATTCTTGACTCTATCAGATAGTTGGAATTATCACACTTTTTAAAGTTGTATTGTGCCATTTACTACCAATTCCATTAAACTTTTTGTTAAAAGTTAAAACTCAACGTGTGAAAGGTAACTTTTTTTTTGATAAAATTTTTCCATTGAAACTAAAATGACAACTTTCAATTTTAACACACCAATTTTGAATTAAGTAGCAAGCTTTAGTCGCGCAATTCTGTCACTGCAACTGTTGATAGAGCAATGTGATTGTTTGGTCACGTGACGTTGATTGTATGGCCAATTAACATTGATCGATCAATTTTTGTCACGCAGTTGTTGGATTAAAGTCCAAGATGTTAATTAACATTTCTTGTGAAGCTTAAATACAAATGTTTAATTAACAAAACCCTACTTAATGATGTGAATCCTACATATTGTTCTCTCTAAACAATAGTCAAAGCCACAAGGCCTCACAACCACTTCATTACACAATTTACATCACACCCACTAAAAAAAGTACCCAGAGAGAGAGAGAGAGAGAGAGAGAGAGAGAGAGAGAGAGAGAGAGAGAGAGAGTAGGAGGGTATAAGTAGAATTCAAGTAGGCCTCTTTAGTTGATGACAAGAGAGAGAGAGAGAGAGAGAGAGAGAGAGAGAGAGTAGGAGGGTATAAGTAGAATTCAAGTAGGCCTCTTTAGTTGATGACAGGAGCTTTCAAGTTTCATAAATCCTTCCACAGGGAAAGGGATCATCTCCGGATCTCTTTCATCTAATTCTCCTCATCAAACAATCCGGACTCTTGAAATTTGATTTAACGGCTAAAAACACGGGTCCACTTTAAAAGTTATAATAACTTTAGTTGTTGGATCAAATTTCAAATGTCTGGATTGTTTGATGAGGAGGATTAGGTGGAAGGGAGCCGAAGATGATTCATTTCCTTTTCACATAACGACCATTCCTCCTCCATTAATACACCCTTTTTAATTAATTAATTTACTTACTTACTTCACTGTTTAAGTTACCGTTGCAGAAGAGTATTTATCAAATATAGCAAAAAATTAAAGGAAAACTAATGAAAAGAGCTTGAAAACTTTGAGTTTTAACGATAAGGACAAAATAAAAGGTAAAGTGAATAGTAACAGGTTTGACTTTTTAATATAAAAATGTGGTTTTTCGTTAAAGTGAACAGTACCGTGGGCTTTTCGTTAAAACTTCCAAAAATTAACCCGTAATTTAAAAAATGTCACTTTTATAAAATCTTTCAAATATATCCAAAATTCCACCTAAATAGACACAAATACCCTCAAATTTAACAATCAAATAAATTAAAAGTTTTTTAGCCAAAATGATTCATGACATTGACATAACTCCTTAATCTTGTCCTTAACAATTAATGATAATCAATAGTAGTGTTCTTGAGTTTGTCTATCGTGAATCATTTTAGTCTTTCTTTGAATTGGTTCATTGTGATCATTTTAGTTTTTTGGTGAAAAATCTGTCAATTGCTCTGTTAGTGTGATGATGTGGCATCATGTGGGTCACACAAATATAATCATATAACGACATGTGGATTAACTTTAAAAACTATTTTTATATTTAAAACTAAAAATGATATTAGTAAGAAAAAAGGCATTGAAGGCATGATTGAAATTCTGCTACTCCCACTTACGGTAACCGCGGCAGCGCTCAATGTCAGTGATGAGGAGGTCGAAGGGGATAAGGTTGTGGTGGTGGAGTGTAGAAGCAAAAATGAAGTTGGACCGGAGCTTGAGGCGACACTAGCTAAAAAGTCTTTAATTTATTTAATTGTTAAATTTGAGGGTATTTGTGTCTATTTAAATGACATTTTGGATATATTTGAAATTTTTTATAAAAAATGACATTTTTGAAATTAAGAGTTAATTTTTTGTTATATTTGATAAATACTCGTTGCGAGAAGAAGAAAGAAAGAAAAATCAGACCTTGTTAAAGTAAAAAGGTTGCAAAAACCACGCTTGGTGGAGTCAATACAAAAGGAGGAGAGAGGGCCTCTTGGTCATTGGGACAAGTTATGTATGGAGCACAGCATCTTCAAAGAGGAACAACAATAAGACCAAAACGATCACATTTTCCGACCGTGTCGATGTCCTAAGAAGCACCGACACGGTCCTTGTTAGGCCATCTCCAATGCACTCGAAAGTTTGGACCTCTCCTATGTCTCGGTGCTTCGTGGGCTTAACTCACCACTATATCCGGACTTAAATATAAGCATATTGGTGTTGCATAACCTAATGTGATAGGTGATAATTCTTGTCACAAATGAACTCCACCTGCCACATAATGTGATTTTATTAACATTAATTAAAGACGGTGAATATAGTCAATCGGCATTAATTATGATTGATTAACCGGTTTCGGGATATGCTTATGTAGAAAGCAATTATGCCATTTTATAAACCGAGTGCTTCGCAGAAAAGCACTTGAAAATGCTTCATGAAAAAGCACATGCTAAAAAACTTAGAGCTCGTTTGAATGTGCTTTTAAAATGACTGAAAACGTTTTTGGTGAAAATATTTTTGGAAACAATTCGTAGTAAAAATTCTAGTAAATCTTGGAAAAACAAAAGTACTTCCTGAAAGAAGCACATAACTGATGCTTCTTGTAGAAAACACTTAAGGTGCTTTTACAACCCAAAAATATTTTCTCTAAAAGCACTTTCAGTCATTTAAAAAGCACAACCAAACGAGTCTTTACTCATCTAAAAAGCGCTTTTAGCCCTTTCAGAAGGGGACAAGGATTGTCTGCCCTCCTAGTTGTGGTGCCCTTCCATGCCCTCCTATTTTGTGCGGTCACGGTTAAGCCACGTCAATATTTTATATTTTTATTGTTTTTTGTCTTATTATCTCATTAAAAAATTAATATAAAATATTGACGTGGCTTAACCGTGACCGCACAAAATAGGAGGGCATGGAAGGGCACCACAACTAGGAGGGCAGACAATCCTTATCCTTCAGAAGGAGTACAAAGCAGACCCTAAATACATAAACTATGGCCTTGGAAATGAATGGCAATCAAGGATTATGATCCTGGATACTCTAATAAAAGGAATGCCTGTTATGCACCAGAAGAAGACAAAAGAAGAAACAAAGCAGAAGAGCGAAAAGAAGAAACGAAAACATACAACGAAACAAGTACAAAATGTGCAAAATGTGCAGAGCTCATTAGTGCATTGTTCATGGTAATTCCATCTACGAAAACAAGGTTTCTCCAAACAAATTAAACGAGAAGAGAAACAGGGCTCAATTGGTGATAGCAGGATGGCACAAGCGACACGGACAAAATGATCCTAAAAGGTCTTCGCAAACATTTCACAGACCTCAATCCGGAAAAGAGAAAAGCATCAGGAGGCAGAACGGAGCCATTTGCGTGTGAAATAAACTTATAACCGTGTGTTAAAAGGATTCTTTTTGCAACTGCTTTTACATCTGTGACAAATGCAAATGCAAACCTTATGAAGCTGAAGCAACAAAGTGGTAAGTTACGAGCAACATCACCTGCTAATTCAAATGCGTATGACAAAAATGACGATTTGAATTTTATTAAAAGAACAGAACTATTGTACAGGCAGTATTACAGAATATAAAGAGATATCACCATGAAAAGGGGCTTGCTCCTAGCAAAAAAATCTCGTTTTCCACATCTTTCACCCACTGACAAACCCGGTTGCAAGTCTTTATTGCCAATGCCTGAAAACCGGTATGAATATAAGTTGAGAAGGCATCTAAAGAAAATAAACAAAATGCACCTAAGGATAAATCCAAATCAGCTTGAAATGGCTTCTCCAACAAATATTAATTATAGAAAAAACAAAAATAACATAAGATTAAAATCTTTTGTCAAAGGATAAAAGTCCTAGGGTATTTCTCCAAGGAGCCCTGCCATTCATTTTCTTCAAATTCTTTCACCGGCTTCATTTCACATTATTGCCATTATTTCTTACTTTGCTACAAGTTCATATCTTCTAAGGTGTTCTGTTTCGTGATTTCTCGTTAATGTCTATGAGTGTCTCCAGTCCCACTAACTGGGTTTGAGATTGTGTTGGCCTATTGGTAATAAGCAGGGCATACAAAACGTTGATAACCAATGAGTTGATTACGCTTGTGACAAGCTCTAGCATTGCCCATTTATTCTGCTGCTTAACCAGAAACACATTTCAACACCTATCCTACGAGATAAACACGATAATGCTCTTTGGATAAGCAATCATCTTTTTGGCCTTGCTTTTAGCCCAATGGTTCCCATAAGTGATAAACCTCATTCAGAAAAAAAACCCCTTTCTTGTCAACTCATCCCTAAATCTATGTTCGGTTTAGAAAAATGGGAAAACGAAAAAATTTGGATGAAAGGGCAATGATTTGCATATATTCCCCTTCACTGGGCCCACAATTTGCAATTCACCCAACAGAGAAATGAGGCAGCCGAAGGAGGGGGGGGGGGTGAGCAAATTATATTACTTAACATAAACTGGGACCCACGAATTTTACTAAAAGTTTTTCCCTCCCTTTTGTCTAATAAAACCAAACAAGGCAAGTAAAAAGCATCAACTCTTTCCCTTTTATTCCCTTTGTAAAAGTGGACAAGTATTGCATAGTGGAAAAGGGTAGGAAACAATAAAACTTACCTTGTCTGCAAGTGGATCAAAAGCTGCATAAAGCTCGAAGTCCTGGGTGACCCAACATAGTAAAACTGACAAAACAAAATGATCATATAACTCCATCAGGAAAGCATCATCAAGCATGTCAACACAAGTTTGATGTAATCGAAGCAAATGTCAACCATGGTATCCTATATAAAAATGTAATGTGAAACAGTAAAAATGACACAGAGTAATGATCAAGCTTGATTACCATAGGGTTTTTGTTAATTACAGTCATAAATGTCAAGGGATCAACTAACAAATGGCTAGGTGAAAAACTTTGACTTCCTAGATGCTGGTCTTTTGAAAAAATGACATCAATATTCAAGTTTGAAATAGTGCAATCATACTTAAAACACCAAAGTTTGGACTACGTAGCAATGAGACTGCGTCAAGAAAATAAAAAAAATTCAGTGTTTTCAACTTTTCCTTTCTGCATATGTATGAAGCAGTATATATTCAAAAGTACCGTAGTTCTCATCTCTTCTAAACTGGGTTTTGTGTGGCCCAATTCCTTTGTCATGCATGGAAGCATAAAGCTTCTGGTAAGCTCTGTATAATCTGCAAGAAGAAGAATTAATTATCTATCTACAACAAAAAGTGACATACGACTTCATTGTGGGAGATTCAATTTTATGCTTAAATGTACTGTTAGATTCATCTGTCACCTTTTCTGCTGACGAGGACTACTTATTGGTGGTGAGAACTCAGAGGATACATACTGATCCAAAAATATACTCCGATATATAAAATGCCAAAGTCCAGCAGGACCGCCTACGCCAATATATGGTTCCCTGAATCTGTCAGGAGAATCTGTTGGAACTGTATGTTGACCCAAATGAGGAGAAAAAGATCCAGAACGTGGCAAAGGATCAAGAGGCAACTCCTCAACACGCATCCCACCATCTACGGTGGATCTCTGAATCTCGCTTAGTACACTGGACTTCAAAAGGACCGATTCAATCCGAATCCTATAAGATCAGAGACAAAATTATGTAGGGAAAAAAAAAACTGGGCTAAGAAGTTACCAATCTATGAAATGGGCTAGGATGTTGCCACATGAAGAACTCCTACAGCACAAATATCATTTTTTCAAACTAAATTTATTGTATACCTGCAATCCTTGAGATGATAAAAGGCATCTGAACTAGTAGTAAGCAACATCAAGTATGTATCAACCTGCCGCAAGAAAGTGTATTTTGTCATGATATTTTAACTAGACAAGCTTAACATGAGGCAAAGTATATAATGTGTGCACTTAAATTTAGATAAGTCATCAACCTAAGTGCGACTCACATCAAGAAAATGGACATAAGCATACAAAAATGCCATGGGATTATATCTAGGCAAGCAAATTGGAGAGAAAGATTCAGATGTCCTGCATTAAGACAAAAAGAAGAAATTAATACAATATTGCAGCTGAAAATGTCTATAAAACATAATCACCCATAATTGAAACCATGCTAGTAGAAAAGAAAGTACCATATGTTTTTTGTGTATGATCCTGTGCTTTAAAACGGGACATCTCGTGATTGGAAACTGAAACTAGTACATGGGATTGGAAATTGAAACTAGTAGCTGGTTAGTATTTAGTGTATCATATCTTACTAGTTTCAATCCCAAATCCCCTGTAAGTTTCCAAAAGGAAGACATAAACACCTATTCAATTTGATCTACTTGCCTAAATGATTCTGATGCCATGACAAAGTTGGACAGCAGCAACATGTCATCAGGATGAAGAGAGGCCTTTTGAGCACCCACAAGACTGATAACCTGCAATCCATTTCAAGTTGTTACAGTGCACTAAGTTGTAAAAGATTTTTCAACTGTGCCATGAAAAATATTTAAAAAAATATTCTTAAAAAGAGATTTCCTCAAGTATTAGCATCAGGATAGAACCTTGTGTTTGCACATCAGTATTGTAAAGAGAACACCAGAATCGGCAACATCATGCAATATGGCACCTGCAGCTTGCCTTGTCGCATAAGCAAGGGGAAGACAAGTGTATGCATGAAGAAATGTGGCAGGATTCCTGAAAACACAGAAACAAGTAGTAGTACTATAAGCATCTTCTTCATTAGGTTTTGTAATTTTAATTTTTGGCATGTGTGAACGGAAATTACATTGGCAGGACAAAGTAGAAAACATTAATGGTCATAACACAAACAAATAAATGAGAAAAAAACAGACCATCCAATATATATCATAATTTCAAGATACGAATGACTTTGCTTATGTAAACTTCATATTAAAGAGCTTATGGTTTTACCAAATTTTTTTCTAAAAGCTTTTAGAACAAAAGGTTTTTATTCAGAACTTTTATACTATTTCAAAGTGAACAATCAGTTTAAAACAGATCAGGTTAGAAATGATCATAATATTCAGCCAAGCAGCCCTTCACATACATTGGATGATCTGTTAATATCACTACTACAATAGTTCATCACCAAAATAACAATATCTGTAATGTAGGGATACTACTTGTGCTCTTGCAAACATCTAAACATCTAAAAACAGGAACCATCATATGAGTTTATTGGATGGTTTTTCACACCAAAAGAAAATTCATATCTAAGTTAGGCATGCCAAAGGGAGCAGAGAAACAAACCAACTGAAAGAGTGGATGAGGGAAGAGAAGACAATATCTGTTCCTCCAAGCAAAGGTGTCATATCAAACTTCGGATTCTTCTCAAAACATCTATTTACTGACTTTGTAAGAATAAGTAGCATCTGCATCCACATATCGTGACTAATTAAATGAAGTGCAGTTACTAACATAAGCTATTTTTATTCTATAAAAGGGAAAGTACATAAACAATATTCTGGTTATTCAATAAATCACTAACAAAATATGACCTAACAGTCAAACATATTAATGCACAAAGAATTTTGCGGAACGGGAAGATCCAATGCTACCTGACCATATATAAGTTCCAATTGCACCCTCAAAGACTCGTAAGGCTCTTCTGTACAGCTGATGCACACTAAGTAAATTGGTCCCTTGACAAGAAAAATCACCTGAACATACAAATATTTTATGCCAATTTAATTTAACTGGTTCCATAAAGATAAGGCCTACAGCTGTGAGTTGATGTACAGTCAAATAATGTCATTCTAGACCTCCACACGAGTAAGACCTAGGTATTTCACGCACATGAACATTATTTTCAAACACTGATATACATTCTGATCCAACTTAGGAAAAAACATAACATACTTCAAGTCATACGAGAAAATTCAAAAAATACAAGCCAAAGGTCCCTCGTCAAATATGTTTTTATAGGATAACATGCATATATCACTAAGACTTCAACATCTGCCCAAGACAGTGTCAGGATGGACAACACAGCTCCATCAACTGGTTCAAAATTAAAGTCATCTGTTCAGGGATGGTATATACAAGCACTCATGAAGGATTATACCACCAGGAAAATGAGAAGGCAGTTCTTATGATCATCCTAGGAATCATGGACTGTTAAAGAAGAAATAACTTGATGAACAAAATTTCGCAAAAAAAGTTACAAAGCAGACCTGATGCTTCCCAGCCCTAACCAATTTGACATGATCCCCACTGTAAAACAATTAATGAACAAAATCACTGGAAGTTTTCTACATAATTCGACTAAAGTAAATCTGTCAGAGTAGACAAATAATCAAAATTTAAGAAATTGGAGAAGAGATTCAATTCAGAATGATTGAGACATGTACCCATTCTCCACGAAGGAAATTATGGCTTGTAATGTTGCTGAAAATCCTGCTAGCTTGTGTTCATCTCCATATCTGATATTAAGCAAGTAATTCAAAAGAAGACAAAAATATATCACGAATGCAGAATATAGACTGATAGTTGCACTCTATTTTGCATAGACATTAATGTAAATTTTGCATTTCTTGAAACAGATAGTCGAGTCACCTGAGACAAACCTGGAATATATTGGTTTGCCAGAGTGACTTAGTATGAAAAAGTGCTTTTTTCTCTTTCTCCATGATATGGAAGCATCATCCTGCACTTCAATTATAAATCAAACAGATACATTGCAGTTATCAATGAAAATCACTTTGTCATCCAAAATAGCAGTGAAATTAAAGGAATTGGTATGGGGCTGAACTGTATTATGAAGAGAAAAGAAGAAACTGACGTGTTTTAATATCACATAATTGATGCCAAACTTTAAGGACTAAAATACCACAACAATGAGCAATACACTAAGCATTTTACCATCCTTTCTCTCTTTCAATATTCTCTATTCTGCTTTTGTTTTGCAATCTAACAATGTTCAGAGATTTATTTCACCTATCCTAGAACTCTAGAATGCCTGATTAATACATCATACTAATACAGTAGAAATCAAAGAATTGCATTAAAAAAAAAAAGCCAAGGAAAAAATAAATCCTTTGACAAAAATCTGAAAATGGTATGACAAATCTAGTGAATACACAAGAGACCTGAACCCCACTTTGCATATAGGACCATCCTGCATTCAATACCTATATGCTATTTTATGTCACTAACCATGCTAGGGAGCAATCTCTTTCTCTATCAGATTCCAATCTAAGGCTTTTAGCTCTGTGACTCAACTATCATTCTCATACTAAACTTATTTGATCATATAGACCAAAAAGTTACTGAGATCATAAGGACAAGAAAAATTTATCATTCAACATCTGTATGCCTTATTCAAGTGCATAAGTACATGCTAATATCTAAAATTGAGCAATAACGAGTCTATTTACATCTATTCAGTCAAGAAGAGCACCAAGGTAGCTGTACAACGTCTGATACATAGCACCTGCATAAGTAGCGTATATCCTACATTTGTCTAAGGCAACTAATTGAAACAACACACCTATTGATCACATTCAACCAAATGAAAATCTTCTAACAATTTGAAATTAGTGAAATACACAAACATACAAACGAATCAAGTCTCGAGCTTTTTCCAATACCATTTCCGAAAGAAGTCCGCAGGGAAATTACCAACTCTCTTCCCAATTTCTCTCTCAATCATTACTTTATTCTTCGATACTAAACTTCATGCACAATTAAAACTCACTTTACATTCCGTGTCCAATAATGACCAAGCAATTCAACCAATGCAATAATTGTCACACAAATTACATGGCCAAGGAGTTGTTAGAACGCAATACCTCATCGACATGTCGTTTCCCGGGCACCCACGGGGTTTGCGAATCCGAAAACCCATCAGCAATCTCATCGTTTCTCACTTCCAAAATCTCATCAACTCCAGAGCCGGCACCACTACTGGCACTACTACTCCCTCTTTCCCCAGCATACCCACTGCTGCTGGGGCTCGACGGCCCATCAACCTCCAGCTCTGAATTGGTCCTCGCCCACACAATACCACCGCCGATTCCGCCACGTGGCAAGCCCTCGCTCGCCTCCTCCACCTCAGCTAAACCAGGAGCAACCGAATTAGCCCGGACTTCCTCCTCCTCGTTCTCGATCTCCTGGTGGTTGTTCCCCTCGGCAGATCCATGTGCGACGCCATTTGCATGGCTGTCGGCCTCGGACAATGCGAGGGCGGCCAATTGGTCTTCCGGGGGTTTGGGGATAGGGTTAGGGTTTGGCTCCCAGGCTTCGTCGCCGGAGGTCGAAGTTCCCGTTTCGGAGGACATGGAGAACTAAAAGGATTTGGGACTTTTGGTGAATTTTTGTGAATTTTGGTAAAAGTGAGAAATTGGGGCTCCAATAGAGAGGGAGGGGGGAGAGCGCAAGGGGTTCGTCTACCAGTCGTTTGTTCTGTCGTGTCCTCTGCTGCAAATTACTCCATTTCCAACGCGGCACTGACCAGTAGGTGGGTGGCTCCGAAATCCGAATGGAGCCTGGCGCGTACTGATACGGGTCGGTTTAGAAAGTTCGGACTTTATACGTTTTGGTTTGGGGCGGGTTGAAGGGACTTTTGGACCAAGCCCAAAGCTTCTCAAAATTGTAAACCAGTTTAACATAATGGGCTTGTCCTCACAATGATAACTAATAAATTAGGTTTTCTCTCCTGCACATATGCGCTGTGCGCATGCCCCATTTACAACAAACCTCAGCCCTCAATTATTATTTTTAGCAAACGATATTATATTGTTTTGACCCAATTTTACATTATCGGTTCGTACGATCAAGGCCGTTGATGAAGCATAACTCCCAACCGTCGGATGAAAAAGTGAAGATAATTTTATTATTGTTAAAGGATAATATTATGGTTTTTATCATAATAATTCTCTTTTAATATGAATTATTTGCATCTTGTTAAACCAGATAAATAGGATGCGAATTATATCCCAAGCAAACAGTACAGTTTGAATTGATTTAGGATGTCTGACTGCACTTGGAAGCTAAAAATGAATTTGAAATTCATTTGATCAAGATGCTGCATTGTTTAAAGGTGATGGGATTATGATGATGTGATAAGCCTAGGATTTGATGGTCTTGAATAATGATGAGATGAGAAACCTAGATAGGCTAGGCCTTTTTGCATGGTGATGGGCATTGTCAGATGAGTTTAGAGTGATAAGAATTGATGATGGGAGCACAATATGCATGTCGTGTGAAAAGGCACTTCGAGATTTCAAAGGGACACCTATTCGGAAAAGGTCTCTATTGGATTGGCGATCAAGGAGACTTGCTATAAATACAAAGGCAGTGGCAACATAAAAAGTCTCCAATTCAACGCACAAACTGCCATGCGCAAACTCTCGCTCTACGCGAAACCTCTCAACAACCTTGAGATTTTTAGTTTCTTTTTCGCCAACACATCTTCAGTTTAGATAAACAGCACTGTGAAGGCAACTGGCGAACATCTTCAGTTTAGATAAACAGCACTGTTGCTGTAGAATCAACCGACTGCAAAGCACCTTCAGTTTAGATAAACAACACTGCGTCAATGCCAATTGGTTATCTATCCAAGTCTCGGTCGAGAAGGGTTTTCGAATCCTTATTGGCAGAGGTCATCTCACGAGCCTTCTCGATGAAGTGAGGTATTACGAATCATTAGACTCAGCGCATTGAACGCCGAGTGTTTTTATGATTGGATACTCACAAGTTGGGTTTAGAGTTCGGCATTCAGACGGCCGAACCACATTTACAATTAAGACGTACATTTGCTCTGAATATATGTGTCCATATAGTCTGGTGTCAATTCGGCGTGCTTATACTCTTACGAATACAATCACCGTGACTGAATCTGACACCGACGATTTGAGAACTTCGTAGAACTAGCAACCTTGTCTTCAGGCTCTAGAACCCGAAGGCCGAGACGTGTTCATTCCTCGGCCGCAATCGCAAGATTGAAAAGTGAGCAGTGCATCCGACATAACATCAACATATTTTACTCATTGGCCGACGAGTTGGCACGCACGCATACAACCGAAAGACGTAGTTAGCTCATTAGTTACTCGGCATGCACGCCACGTAGGCTTGGTAGTTTTTAGGGTCAACATATGTACACTAAGAAAGAAATGGTGCGCTCAACCTCACAATGAGCTAGCAATAATATGGTTCAAATTCGTCTTAGCAAGAATCGAACTTAAGTTCTCACTTACAAGTGAAGAATCGAACTTAAGTTCTCACTTACAAGTGAAGAATCGAACTTAAGTTCAAATTAGTTAGCCCTCCATTTTTAGGACTTGGGCTCGAACTTCATACATTGTCAACGACATGTTTTTTTTTTAGTACAACGATATATTTTTCACTAAAGGGAAGGGAAGTTCGGCTAAACCACACAATGGGCAGCCTAATTTGATATCAAATTCGCCATCCACGAGATTTGAATCTAAAATTTTTTACTTACAAGTGAAGAGGAGACATGTTAAGGTTTAATAGTGACATCATCATGCTGGACCTTCTATACAAGCTATTGCTTGGCTACTTTCATTAATAGGCCTTGATGGGCCTCATGAGGCTGTTGGGGCCATGCTTGCCTTGAGCAAGTGTAATTCACGAGCCCAACAAATGACTGATAGCCTGTGGTTCGTATCTTTCTTGCAAGATTTCGATGAGAAATCTCGTCAAAAGACATCTTCTAATCCACGTGTAATTATCTCATTGAATAGTAAAATACGCCCTAATAGGGTTAAAAACAACTGCAGGTATATATTTGACTAGTATATGACACAAAGCATAAAGATCTCTAATTTAATAGCGATAACGTTAGTAAGTTAAATATTTAGTTGTTGAGAAAAAGAATTCAGTTGAATTTAAACTTGAACCAAAATAAATAAACATTATTAATTTTTGCTATAACTATAAAGTGTGAGCTGATTAATCAAATGATTCCAACTTGGAAACTAATGAAAGAGACATCTTAAAAAAAATAAAATAAAATGCGGGAACTTAAATAAAAAGGGTGAGGGGGCTCGTATAAAGTCAACCCTATAAATGCGGTCCCACCACTAAATAATCAACGGTTGAGATCTTTCCAAGCTTCTTTTCAAAAAGGAAACGTTGCCTAAGCTTTTTTAGCTATCCATTCATTTGTGTCAAGACAACGTCGATTCGTTCTTAACGCTCGCTTAATGAAGAAATAGGCCTTGGCTTTATTCACCAAGTATTCAACGCCTTCCGTCCTTATTCGTCTCTTAGTTATGACTGGTGCAACTTCCATCCTAATGTCTTATTTCTTCATTCACTTTAAATTAAATATTTTGTTTACAAATTTATTCTCGGATTTTTATCACAAATAGTCCATAAAATTGACTATCACCATCAAGATGGTCCATAAAATTGAAAATCAATCAATATAGTCCCTGAAAATAGGTATCGCAAATCAATGTGGTCATTTTGTCATAATTCTGCTAAGTGCAGATGTTGCACATAAATAGGTCCTATAAGTCTTTTTTTCTCAGAAATGGTCCTTAAAATTAACCTGCAACATCAAATAGTCCTTGAAATTGACTTGCAACATCAAAATGGTCTCTGAAATTGAAAATCGATCAATGTAATCCCGCAAGTAAGTGTCCCAAATCTTCAGAGTAGGTCCTACTATAAGAAAAAATTCCATTGTGCAAAAAGGTATTTAGATAACTTTTTAATTAATTATTAAACTCACATCAGCACATCACATAACAAATTTTTTTACAAAATTGTGGCAGAATTATCATATTGATTTGCAACATCTATTTTCAAGTACTACATTAATCGATTTTCAATTTCAGAGACCATCTTGATGATGTGGATCAAACCCATGAACCGTTATTTGCAAGCTGGCCTCCTGCAGATCTGGGAAGAGGCGACCCATGCCACTCCTCCATATGCACAACCCGACTGAAACGTGTCGCCTTTTCCATACGCCGTGCACCCAACATCTTCTCTCGTCCAAATTCAAACCACGACAAACTTCTCCATCTGGGATACAAAATGACATCTCAAACTTTCCCATTGGTATCACCAAAAATTTTCCATTGATAAGTATTACTAGGCCCAATTCATGCTTTTTTCCACAAATTAAAAAAAATATATTGTTATTTTATCTTTTATTTATTGTTAGGAATTTAAAATATGACATATCTACCCATTTAAACATGGTTGAGATTGTATTTCATTGTTTTTACTTTTGATAGTGGGTGACAAAATAAGTGGGGTGGGGAGATACGAAAAGGGGGAGATTGTATTTCATTGTTTTTACTTTTAATATCCCATTGTTTTTTTTTTCTTGACTTTATTTTTTATTTTTTTAATATCTATGAATGTGAAAGTAATATATAAATAAATAAATGAAACAAACACAACTTTTCATGTATTGCAGTTTAATTTAGATACGATGAAGTTTATAAGCAAAAGTTTTGTTTATTGCATTTACGTTCTTCTAATTTTGATCTAGTTAGCATTATTACTTCATTCAATTGGTTGTTCAAATGAGAAGATGCGTACGAACTGAATAAAAATTAAATTCAACTTCGTTGATGAATTGAATATATAACATAAAATTAAAAAATTAAAAAATAAAACCTACAAGGACGAAATTATGCAACAAAAAAATACAAAGGCAAACAAGTAATCTTACCTTGCAAAACTCAATACAAGCTAATTAATACATCACATGATCATGAGACAAGCACGAATGTGATTATGACATGAGCACGAATATGTCTTTACATCGACTTGAACCAATTAATGCCTCCAAGCTTGAACTTTAAATTCATGTAGGTATTTTTATTTCTCATAGTATTTTTTGGGTGGCCATAACTTGTTTGGTAGACAAGCTTTCTTCCTAGAGTTTGCAACTTAAGAAAATAATTGTTGGAGGTAATTTTTTTTCTCGATATTTTTTTATAGATTTTTCACGTGAAGGGATTAAGATTTCAGGTGTGATCAAATTGTGTATTCTTAATTGTCAATATCTGATGTCGGATTGAATTAAAAACCTAACCAACTATTAATTAATGAATTGAACATGGACAATTGGGATGCCTTGCAACCATCCACTTAATAACCTTATCGAAAAAGCAAAAGATTTATAGATAAAAATAAGTAAATAAAACTAGGGTAAATATCAGTTTACTATCCTCATGTTTCGTAATTTTCAACTTTTAGTACATCAAGTTTGTTTCGTCCCAGAGTCATACCTAAAGTGTAAATTTTGAGACAGTCTCATACATCCGTTAGTCAAACTGTTAAGTCTTCCATTAATTGATGATGTGGTGCCCACGTGGACAATGACTGGGTGCCACGTGTTAATAAGGATCCCACGTGGATATTAAAAAAAATAAAAATTTTAAAAAATTACAAAAAAAAAAGAAAGAAAAAGAAAAATGCTTTCATGTACACCATCAGGATCAAAATCCCCGGCCTCGAACTTGTCAGACATGGTGCCTTTCTCGTC